CAGCTCCAGCCTGGGCGACAGAGTGAGACTCCATCTCAAAGGAAAAAAAAAAAAAAAGAAAAAAGGCCAAGTGCTGTGGCTCACGCCTGTAATCCCAGCCCTTTGGGAGGCTGAAGCAGGAAGATCACTTGAGCCAAGAGTTCAAGACCAGCCTGGGCAACATAGGGAGACACCATCTCTAAAAAAAATATAAAAATTAGCTGAGATGTTTGTTTGGTTCTTCTTTTTGGTGTCTGCGGGTTCCCAGGCGCTTCCAGCAGTGGCACAATCTCAGCTCACTGCAACCTCCACCTCCTGGGTTCAAGCAATTCTCCTGCCTCAGCCTCCCAAGTAGCTGGGACTACAGGCACCCACAATCATGCCAGGCTAAGTTTTTTTTTTTTTTTTTAGTAGAGATGGAGTTTGCTATGGTGGCCAGGCTGGTCTTGAACTCCTGACCTCAAGCGATCCGTCCACCTTGGCCTCCCAAAGTGGGATTACAGGTGTGAGTCACCACACCTGGGCTCCTTTTTTCTTTGAAGTAAAATTTACATGTAGTAAATATTATTTGGCTATAAAGGGAATGAATTACTGATACATGCTACAATGTGGATGAACTTTGAAACCATTAAGCTGAGGGAAAAGAGGTAGACATAAAGGGCCACCCACTACATGACTCCATTCACATGAAAGTCCAGAAGACAGAAATCCATAGAGACAGAAAATAAAGGCCGGGCGCGGTGACTCACGCCTGTAATCCCAGCATTTTGGGAGGCCAAGGCGGCGGATCCCCTGAGGTCAGGATCCGCCTGAGGTCAGGACCATCCTGGCCAACGTAGTGAAACCCAATATCTACCAAAAATACAAAAATTAGTTGGGTGTGGGGGTGTACGCCTGTAATCTCAGCTACTTGGCGGCTGAGGCAGGAGAACTGCTTGAACCTGGGAGGTGGAGGTTGGAGTGAGCCAAGATCGCGCCACTGCACTCCAGCCTGGGCGACACAGCCAGACTCCGTCTCAAAAAAAAAAAAAGGGTAGATTAGTGGTTGCTTAGATGACTTCTAACAAACGCATACACCTATCAAGAGGGAGAACACTGCCACCAATCCAGAATATTCCCTCATGCCCTCTCCCAGCAAAGCCCTACCCCCACCCTACCCCAATAGACACCCCCAGTACAATTTCTTGCCTGTTCTAGAACACCACATAAAAGGAATTACACAGCAGTTCCTGTTCTGTGGAAGGTCTCTCTCTTGCTCAGCATCATGTTTATAAAGTCATCCATATTGCGGCACGGATCGGATCGCTCGTTCTATTGACATTCATTAAACAACGGTTGGACCAGTCCTACCGCCCTCCCTCCCCCCATATCTCTCTCTCTCTCTGTCTGTCTTTCTTTTTCTTTCTTGAGATGGAGTCTCGCTCTGTGGCCCAGGCGGGAGTGCAATGGCATGATCTCGGCTCACTGCAACCTCCGCTTCCCAGGTTCAAGCTATTCTCCTGCCTCGGCCTCCCAAGTAGCTGGGATTACAGTCACACACAACCACACTCAGCTAATTTTTGTATTTTTAGTAGAGACGGGGTTTCACCATGTTGGCCAGGCTGGCCAGTCTTTTAAATGAATCCAGCGAAATCTAAATATAATGGTCATTTAATCATCAACAATTTTTAAGAGACATTTTTTTAACAGGCTTAAATGTTTTCTCCTTTGCCTTGTATTTTCACACCACTTTGTCCATAGAATTTTATGCCAACATGACATATCTTCTGCTCGAAGTCCTCCACTGGCCTCACTGTGCTTTTCTGTAATGGAAATATGTGTATAAGTTGAAATGCCACTTTTCATTCTTTACTTCATAAGTCTCTTATCTTTGTTTCTGCTAGATTCATTATTTTTCCATTATTAGCTCACAGTTTCTCAAAACCACTGATTTGGATATAAATAATCTATATTATACATTTCGATTAAAAATTGTTACACAGAAAAAGGAAGTTTGCATTGGGGATGCATCTCCTGATGAAGGGGACGGGGCTTTTGTCCTCGTAGCCCCTGTTTCCATGGGTGACGATGACTTGTTTAAAAGACACTATTCCGCATGCTTTATGGGTTTTAGGGGCTAGCACTGAGCGACTGTGTTCACACGAACAAGTCTACCGGACAAAGTAGGATTGGGGCAGCAGTTCCGCAAATCTGAGACGTGCCACCGGGGATCGCTGCTGCGGACGGGGGCTGCGACGCCACCAGCCCCAGGATCCAGAGCGGCTCTCTGGGTGTCCGGGCAAGTCCCTGCTCCGAATGGGGAGGCCAAGGGGCCGAGGAAGTCGAGGGTCTGGACATTTGCTGCCCTGGAGCCGCGTGAGCCCCCCCCGCCCTGGAACGTCCCCCCCCCCCGGGGCGCTTTCGCTTTTGCAGCCCCCGCCTGACTGGGGACCCTCCACTCCCCACACTCTCCTTCCATCCCCGCTTCCCTCTCCCTGGCCCTCCTCCTCCCCCGTCTTCAACCGAGACAAAGGAAGGCAATGCCACCGCTTACCGCCAGAGGGCGCGCCGCACACACCCCCCCCCACCCCGCCCCCCGCCAAACGGACACTGAAGCTGGGCGCCCCCTGGCCCAGAGGGGTGCAGGGGGAGAGGAGGCGCAGGAGGAGATGGGGTGGAGGGGGAGAGGAGGCGCAGGGGCAGAGGGGCCCAGGGAGCTTCGAGCCTCCTGCCTGGGTCCTGGTTTGGTTGCCCCCGCACCACCCAGTGTTTGCCCACCCTGCCTCAGTCTCCCCATCTCCCAGCCTCGGGGCTCCTCTGGCGGGCTGGGGCCCACCCTGGGGCAGAGCCACTGGGTCTGGGGACTGGTAGCATCAAGATGCCTCGAAGTCTTGGCCTAGTTTTCAGGATCCCTGTAATTAGGACCCCCACTCCCACAGGAGCCTGTCCAGAAGGCCCCAGGCGTGGCTGGGGTGTCGTGGACACCTGCCATCTTTTTGGAACGCTGCAGACATCTGCCTCCCACTCCAGTGCAGGGGGGCCTGGGCCCCCTCAAGGAATGGCTGGGAGTGGGAGGGTGGGCCTGAGGTTTCACAGCTCACACCTGAGGCCAGTCACAGCCCGACTGGGCCAGGCAGAAGCTGCACAAACTCCACACTGGAAAGGTGGGGCCAAGGGCAACCCCAGCCCACCTGCCAGCACTACCCCACCCCCAGCATCTGCCGGGCACAATGGGGCATACCTAGCCCCACCCCACCCACCCTTGATATGTAAGGCCTCAGCCAGGAAGTCCAGAAAGAGGAGGATGAGGACGGGGGTCTGTACCAGAGGCCTCCGCCACCCATGAAGCCATCGGGCCTGTGGGCCGCTCAGAGCAGGACAGGACTCCCTGGTCTAGAGGGCCCTCAGGCTGGCCTCCATGGGGTGCAGCGAGGCTGGGGTACAGAGCTGGGTCCCCACAGCCCTCACCTCCCTGGCCCCGTCCATCACAGCCTAGCTCCTCCTGGAGCCACCTCACCTCCCTGGGCCTCCATTTCCCCCTCCATAGAGCAGAGGTGTTGACGGCTCTAGATGGGAAGGCTAAGCCGGTCTGTCTTTGCAGAGCCCACGTGGTGGCGGCACACGGTCCGTGCTCCGCAGTCAGCATCCCATCACATGGTGGAGGGGATGTTCTGAACCTCTCTTCGAAACTCACAGAACCTGGGGACAAAGCAGGGCAGCGTCTTGTCATTGAGGGGTGGCCACAGGAGGGGCCCAGGGACCAGCACCAGGTACAGGAGCAGACCCATGGCCCAGCCAAAAGGCACCGGACACACTGGGCACGGCCGGGCCTGGGCTCCCTCTGACACGGGGCACCTGGACGGGTGCTTGAGCACAGCCAGGACTTCAGATGACAGCCATCCCCGCAAGCATCTGACCATGTGCGAGACCCTGCACCCAAGCTTCCCAAATTAGCCCCTCCTAAATGCCAACTCCGGAAACCATGAAATAATTGGCCGCTGTTTACGCATCGGAGTGGCTGGCCGTGCAGTGAAAGGCACCAAGCTGCTGGCGCGCGCAGGGTCATCTCCCTGTGGCTCCCGCTGTCCAGGGTTGCCCCCCTGCTCCCCTCCTGCAGGGCTTGTTCCCAGCAGGTGCGTCTTCCAGCTGGGCCTGGAGACCTGGCGCCACGCGGTCTAGCAGTGACTCTATAGCTCTCTCTTATGTGGCTCAGGGTGCTTCCGCCCGCCCCCCTCCCAGCTCAGCCTGGGCACCTTTCTCCTGGTCGCTGTGTCCCAGCACTCTCCCCTCAGGAGGCTTGGGCTGGCGGCTGTGAACATTTCCAACCGGGTGGTCCTGGCTCCCCACCAGGTTGTGTCCACCCCCTCCCACCATGGCTGCTCCCCACATTGGTTCAGGGAGCCCCTGAGGAGGTCCATGGGGTCCCAAGCCCACCGATGCCCACCACTGCTTTCAGCTTCCTCCTGTTCGCCAACCACCAGGTTGGTGGTCTCTTCCTTCCCACTCTTACTCTGTGTTCCAGGGGAACATGCTGCCACCAGGCTTTACTGTGGACTGTGTCCTCTGTGTCTCTGGTTGTGCAATCTCGGTGGCTCGTGTTTTACAAGAAGGTTGGGGAGAGCCAAGGCCGTGATCACTTCTCCCGCATCCTTCTCCAAATCGAGAGGTTACGATATTCAGCCTCAATCCTTCTCCAAATCGAGAGGTTACGATATTCAGCCTCAGAACCACAGTCGTCTCATGCTCAAGGCCTGTGGGCCAGGAATCCCGAGCTGGTGATATTGAGCCAGGAATCCCGTGCTGGTGGTATGCACTGTTGCTTTTCCAAACAGAAAAAGAAGAAAAACTTGTAGGCCAACCCAGCTGACTCCTTAAACGACCTCTTCGAAACTCACAGAACCCAGGGACAAAGCAGGGCAGCGTGTATATATAAAGTTGGTAAACTTCAAAGACGGCTGTGAAGTCATGAAAATCCATGGAAGAACCCTAAATGCATATTTCTGAGTGAAAGAAGTCAGTCGGAAGAGGCCATATACTATATGATTCCAACTCTAGGACATCCCAGAGAAGGGGAAATTACGGAGACAGGAAAAGGACCCGTGGTTGCCAGGGTTAGTGGGGAGGGAGGGATGAGTCAGCAGAGCACGGAGGGTGTTTAGGGTAGGGAGGGTAAACCAGTGCAGCCACTATGGAGACCAGAATGGCGATATTTCAAACAGTATTTCAAAAACTTAAAATAGAATTGCCACATCATCCAGCCATTTCACTTCTGGGTATTCTCCCAAGAACTGAGTGCAAGGACTTGAACAGATATCTGCACACCCGTGTCCACAGCAGCATCACTCAGCAACACCCGAGGGTGGAAGCAGCCCCGGTGCTCACAGATGGATGAACGTGGTGTATCCAGGCCGGGAGAGGTGGCTCACGCTTGTCATCCCAGCTCATGGAAGGCCAAGGCGGGTGGACCGCTCGAACTCAGGAGTTCAAGGCCAACCTGGCCAACAGGTGAAAATCCAGCAATACAAAAAATACAAAAATTAGCTAAACGTGGTGGTGTGCGCCTGTAGTCCCAGCTACTCAGGAGGCTGAAGTGGGAGGATTGCTTGAGCCCAGGGAGGTCAAGGCTGCAGTGAGCCATAATGGTGCCACTGCACTCCATCCTGGGCACCAGAGCGAGACCCTGTCTCAAAAAGAAAAAAGCAGCGTATCCATCAAAGGGAATATTATCCAGCCTCAAAAAAAAAAAAAAAAACAAGAGGTCCTGACACAGGCTGCCACACAGGTCAGCCTTGAAGACATTATGCTGAGTGAAAGAACTAGACACAAAAGGGCATATGCTGTTTGACTCAGAGAGCGGTCACAACCCCAGAGAAGCAAACAGAATGGAGGGTGCCAGGCTGGGGGAAGGAGGGTGTGGGGAGTTCGTGTTTGCTGTTTCAGAGTTTCCGTTTGGGAAGGTGAAAAAGTTCTGGGGATTGGTTGCACAACAATGTGGATGTACTGACGGCCACTGAACTTGAACTGTACATTTAAACATGGGAAGATGGTGTGGGAACAAACCCTCAGTCAGTTGGTCTGGCAGCAGATTTGATGCAGATGAAGAGGGAAGTGAGGAATCAGTAGGGAAGACTGTGATCACCCCTGATTGGCACAGATAGATAAGGAGCTGTTAAGGGGGTTCAGAAGAGGTTAAGACATAGGAGAGATGGATAAGAAGGTTTTCCATACTTCTGATCAAAATTCCAGAGGGGCTGGGCACAGTGTCTCATGCCTGTAATCCCAGCACTCTGGGAAGCCATGGCAGGTGGATCACTTGAGGACAGGAGTTCGAGACCAGCCTGGCCAACATGGTGAAAACCTGTCTCAACTAAAAATACAAAAATTAGCCAGGCATGACGACAGGTGCCTGTAATCCCAGCTACTCGGGAGGCTGAGGCAGGAGAATCCCGGAGAACCCAGGAGGTGGAGGTTGCAGTGAGCCAAGATCGTGCCACTGCACTCCAGCCTGGGCGAGAGAGCAAGACTCTGAAGAAAGAAAAGAAAAGAGAGGAGAGGAGAGGAGAGAAAAGGAAAGAAGAGAAGAAAACAAAAGAAGCCAGGCGCGGTGGCTCACACCTGTAATCCCAGCACTTTGGGAGGCCGAGGCGGGCGGATCACAAGGTCAGGAGATTGAGACCATCCTGGCTAACACGGTGAAACCCTGTCTCTACTAAAAATACAAAAAATTAGCCGGGCGTGGTGGTGGGCGCCTGTAGTCCCAGCTACTCAGGAGGCAGTGGCAGAAGAATGGTGTGAACCCGGGAGGTGGAGCTTGCAGTGAGCTGAGATCGCACCACTGCACTCCAGCCTGGGCGACAGAGCGAGACTCCGTCTCAAAAAGAAAAGAAGAGAGAAAGGAAGGGAAGAGGAGGGGAGAGGAGGGGAGAGGAGGGGAGTGAAGGAAGGAAGGAAGGAAGGAAGGCAGGCAGGCAGGCAGGCAGGCAGGAAGGAAGGAAGGAAGGAATTCCAAGAGGTGGAACGAGATAAAACGGGAGAGCCCACCACCTCCCTGACAATATGGCTGAGAATTTTCCAGAACTGATAAAATATGGAAACTTCAGCCTCAAGAGTGCAGCACTCTCAAGCAGGAAGAATAAAAGCAGCCCATCCCTAGATCTCCCTTGGTACACTCAGAATGCTGAAGGAGAACTTGCTAGAGGCAGACCCCACGAATGGCAAGAACAGAAGCAGATGAACGTCTCCGAAGTGCTGAGGCAGAGGCAGAGGCAGAGGCAGCAGCCGGACCCACACGCCCCGCTCCACTCCCACTTACGGGTATGGGAGAAGCATCGGATGAGCAAAATGACTCCACCACCACCCAGTTCCTCAGCAAAGGAACCTCCACAGAATGCAGCTCAGAAAGAGGGAATGCCTGGGCTGCCAGAAAGAGTGGGGTGCAAACATGTGCAAACCTCAATGGGTGCTGGCTGTGTGCAACAAAGCCCTGTTGAAAGCAAAGGGAAATAATAAAGGCAAGATAGACCTGAGTATTGGGCAGTCGTAATGATCTGTGAGCCAGGAGGGGTGTGATCTGTCAGGAGGAGAAATGAAATGCTGGCTATCTTTGCATTCTAAATATACTTGTTAAAATTCTAAGAGTGACTATTTTAAAATAGAAATAGAGCATATAACTTCCACTTAACTCTTCAAGGAAAAAATAGAATGTCAGATTGAGCCAGAGCCACGCAAGAGCACTCAGGCAGCGGGAGCTACACGTGCAAAGGCCCTGGGGAAGGAGGGAAGAGGCACACGCCTGGCACTGACGTCAGTGCGGCTGGAGGCAGATGAGTGCAGAGAGGGGTCTGAGACGCGGCTGGAGGCAGCAGGACCAGACGGGATGGGGCCTCAGGGCTGTGGTTCTGAACTTCATTCCAACAGCAGAAAAAGGGAGGCATGTTTGTAACCTGCAGTGAGGCAGGAGCCACGGACAGGATTGCATCTGTGGCTTGCCAGTATCCCGCAGGCTCCCACAGGAGCAGACTGCCCTCAGGCCCCAGCGGAGCGGGGGAGAGCAGGCAGAACAATTTTGGCCCCTGGATATGGTGGTGGCAGGGGAGGTGGTGAGCAATGGAGGAAGGGAGATTTAGGAAGCAGTGCCCAGCTCCTCGGTGTGGGGGCAGTGAGGCGAGGGAAGAACACGGAGAGAGGCTGGCTCGGGGCTTGACAGAGTGGTGGGGTGTCCCATGGGAGGCAAAAGCAGATGGTGGGGCGGGCGAGAGAGTCACGGTTCTTTCAGCCTCATCAAGTGTGTTTCTGAGGACATGGAGGGCTGTGGGAGGCTGACAGTGCAGACAGAGCGCGGGAGTGGGAGCGGGGCCGGGGGCAGGACCTGCCAGGCTCAGTAGCACTTGGGCAGTCTTCATAGATGAGATGGGGCACGGCCCCTCTGGAGAGGGAAGAGGAGGGGGTAGCAGAGGCAGAGCTGGGGCAGCCAGGGAGGTAGGAGGGTGCTATGGACTGAAGTGTGACCCCCCCCAAATCCTTATGTCAAGCCACAACCCCCAGTGTGACCGATTTGGAAATAGGGTCTTTAGAAGGTAACTACGACCTTTACAAAGTCATAAGGATGGACCCTAATCCAACAGGACCGTGGCCTTCCAAGAAGAGGAGGAGACACCAGAGGCGGACACAGCAAGGCCGGCAGAAAGGTTTCATCAGAAACCAACACTGACACTGATGGCACCTTGATCTCGGACTTCCAGGCTCCAGAGCTGTGAGAAAATAAATGTCTGCTGTCTAAGCTGCCCAGGCTGAGGTCTTCTGTTACGGTAACCTGGGCTCACTCATACAGAGGGGAACCAAAAGCATATGGGGTCCTGGCACCCACAAGCGAGCGTGTGTCAAGAAAGAGGAAGCAGAAACCGCGTGCATGGCTGCTCCTTCAGAGCACGCAGAAAACTGTGCAGACAGGGCACGGGCACAAACCCATGTGAGCAGAGAAGCATCTCTCCAGGTGCACACCCGCACTGCTGAGATGCAGCTGCCCCCGCAGGGCTCAGAAGTTCCCTGTGAGAGCAGCGCCATCCCCCATGCCTCCTGAAGCTGCCTGGGTCCCACAATGGCCACCGCGCCATCTCCTATCCCACAAGCCCTCCTAACCCTGCCTCTCCCCCATCAAGATGCAGGGGCTGTGTCCCCTCCCCTTGAGCCTGGCCAGGCCTTTGGGTCTCTGCTGACAGAGGACAACAGAAGTGAACTGTGTTGGCCTGGTGCATTACAAATGCTCACGCCTGTAATCCCAGCACTTTGGGAAGCTGAGGCAAGACGATCACTTGAGCCTAGGAGTTCAAGACCAGCCTGGGCAACATAGTGAAACTCCCACCTCTCTACAAAAAAAAAAAAAAAAAATTAAATTTAAATTAGCCAGGCATGGTGGCGGGCAGCTGTAGTCCCAGCTACTTGGGAGGCTGAGGCAGGAGAATGGCGTGAACCCGGGAGGCGGAGCTTGCAGTGAGCCGAGATTGTGCCACTGCACTCCAGCCTGGGTGACAGAGCGAGACCGAGTCTCAAAAAAAAAAAATTTTTTTTTGTTTTAATGAGCCAGGCATGGTGACACACACCTGTAGTCCCAGCTACTCACAAGGCTGAAGCAGTAGGATCGCTTGAGCCTAGGAGGTCAATTCTGTAGTGAGCCATGATTGTACCACTGCACTCCAACCTGGGCAAGAGAGCAAGACCCTATCTCAAAAAAAAAAAGTGACTGGGTGACGTGCAAGCTATATTCTGTCAATGAACAAGAAATAGACCAACACTGCAGATCAGGAAACAAAAGAAAAGGGGGGTCTCAGGAACTGCAGTTCAGGAGACACAGATCTAGCCAGGAGCTCAATCGTGTCTGTGCCGGGGAGGCCCGGCAGGGGCTTACAAAGGTGTGCGGTGAGTCTACACATCCAGAAGGTGTTGGCATGGTCCATGACCAACGGTGGGGGCTTAGTAGCGTAGGACAGCTCTGGCTGATCATCAGTCTAATCAGGTGCGCCTGTCCCCAGCAGACCAGTGATCAGGCCTGG